GCCTTCTCCTCCTCCTCCTCCCCTCCCGTGCCAGCCCGAGGGTGGCTTCTTGGAGCCACTTGGTGTCCCTGGGGAGCCCCGGCTGGTCTTTGGCAGCCGCTCCCCGTGGTGCCCAGCGCCGGCTGAGCCCCTCGGCCGCTGCTCGGGGAGTTCAGGTTGGAGCCGCTGCCTGAGCCCCCGGGGGCTTCATCCTTGGGACGCTGCTGCTGCAGCCCTGTCTGCTCCGTGCTGGGCAGGAGGGGATGTGCAAACCCCCGTGAGCTCCGCCCGGGAGTGCAGGCGCAGCGATTCCTGCAGCCACGTGCCCGGCGTTGCTGTGGTTTCCCCGGCACAGCCCAGCCCAGCCGGGGAGCTCAGTCCCCTCACTGCTCGGGGGGCTCTTCCCCCTCTCCCTGCCTCATGCATATTTAATCCGGGTCTCCTGGAGCCATGTGCTCCCGCAGCCGGCGCGGCATGACACATTCACTGCTAATTAATCCAACTACGGCATTTATTAAGTGCCTCGCACGCCTCGGGCGCTGCGTGGTGATGATGCTCTGGGACGCTGCTGGTCCCAGTGCCGCAGGCAGCTCCGCTCGCAGCCGGCCCCAGGCGCTCCCGTGCAGGCAGGGATGTGGGAAAGGCCACGTCAGGACACGCTGTCTGCGTTTTTTCGGGGGTGTTTCGCTGTAAAACACAGCATATTTCATTTTCATCTCCCCATCACTTCCCCTCACCCCTCGGAGCCCTCGGAGGAGCTGTCCCGAGCGGTGGGAGCAGAGGGAGCACCAGGATGCCGAGTGCCCGGCGAGGCGCTGCCCGGCCATGTGCGTCCCGAGGAGCCGGATCAGAGCAAATCCCGCCTGTGTCCTGCCCTTAAGGGCTCTCCCTCGCCCCCGTCGGTATTTCTGAGCCATCTCCCGACTCCTGGGGCCTGTCCTCACGCAGCCCAAGATCTCCATCTGCTCTGCTGCTCTAAAAGTTCCTGGATTTAGTGCGCTGGGGCGGGATGGCTCTCCCTGATCCCGCTGGCTGTCACCGCGCAGGGCTGGTGCCACCGAGCAGCAGCCCTGGTGCAGCGTGAGGTGTCAGGACGGTGTGGGATTGATGGGATGGGCTGGTCCTCACCTCTGCCAGGATCCTCCCTCCTTCCCGCAGGAGCCGGCGCTGCTGCAGCGCCGCTGGGACACGCGGGTCGTGCCTGGAGTGCGGCAGTGCCGAGCTGGGACAGGGAGGGACAGGGGTGGTCCTGGCTGGGGCTGCCCTGCCTCTCTTCTCGCTGCCTGAACCCATCTATACCCACAGATTTTGGGGGGCTAAGAGCAGTTCGAGGGTCCCTCGCAGCCCCGGAGGGGATGAGCCGGGAGGTTTGTCCCGCTGAGTGCAGGAGCTCCTGCAGCTCCCTCGGCCACCACCCACATCCCAGCCGTGCCACGGCCTTGGGGTGGGGACAGCCCCACTTCCACCACAGCAGCGTTCGCCAGACACCCCAGAAAAAACCAAACCCGCCCGTTGGTGTCATTTTGTTATTGCAGTTCAGACTGGAGAGCAGCACAGCCTCTGCCCGGGGCATCGATCGTTCCTTGCCCTGCAGCAGTGGGTGGGCACCGGGATCTCACCTTGGCACGGGGAGGGCCGAGGGTGTTGTGGCAGCACCCCGGGGCCAAGGCCCTGTGTAGGGCTGGGAGAGAGGCAGGAGCTGCCACCCGTTCCCTAGGTATAAATAGCTTCCCCTGGCGAGGATGTGGGCTGTTCCCAGTGACACGGAACCCACAGCCTGTCCTTGGAGCAGCTGGTTTTTGGGGGCGGGAGGGAGTTTGTGTCACCAGCGAGGGCTGAGCTGCTCCGAGGGCTGGGGAGCAGCGGTGCCCGGGGAGGGGTGAGCGGGGGCGCTGCCAGGGCTCTGCTGCTGCCTTGTGAGCCTGGGGAGACGCTGCCCCGGGTCCCTTCTGTGCTTCGGGGGCTCTGGGGAACCAGGAAAGGGGATTTCGTGCTTGCACCGTTCTCCTCAACACCCCCTCGGTGCCCGCTGTGGCCTGGCAGTGCCCTGCCTCCTGTCTGACTGGGTGATGCACGGGTGGCACATCACACTCCTCTGTCCCTGTGGGGCTCAGTGAACCGCCCTGACACAGTTCTGATGCCTCACCTTCCCTCCTGCCCCCAGCAGATTACTGACACCGACTGTGCCCTCCCCAAGGTGCCCAGCACTGTCACTCTGCTCATGTCTGTGGTGTGAAAACCAGGTCTGGTCCCAGCCCTGCAGTTTGGCTGAAGCACCTCCCTGCCCTCGTGTTCCGATGGTTACGGCTTGAGGCAGCCTGGAGGGAACTTGGAGCAGCCAGAGGAGCAAACGCTCCCCTCTGGAGGAGAAGAGGCTTTGTGGGGGCGGCAGGGGCTGGGTGAAGGATGGGACCTGGCCTGGCTGTTGGCAGCTGGGGGGTGGGAGGTGGCAGGTGACCAGTCCGGGACACCTTTACCAGAGGCCGCAGTGACTGGAGAAGTTCTTGGGAAGATGCAGGACCCTCCCCGTGGCCACTGCTGTGACCCTCCCCGTGGCCACTGCTGTGACCCTCCCCGTGGCCACTGCTGTGCCCCTCCCCGTGGCCATCGCCGGTCCCCAGGAGCTGAGCACAGACGTGGCAGCAGCGAGGGCTCTGCTGAGCGCCCCCAGCTCTGTCCCTCGGGGCTGTCCCCGTGTCCTTGGTGGCAGAGGAAGGCGCCGCTGCTGTCTCCGTGTCCTGCCCGTGCCCGAGGCAGCAGCACTGGGCTGGATCCACAGCGCAGCAGCGGGATGGGGGGGGGCCATGTGGGGGATCGGTTTGGGCTGCTTACCAGGAATAAATTATTATTTTCCCCTTTGTATCTTTGATACGGTTGGTGTGGCACGGCCGGTGTGGGTCAGGGGGGAAGCTGCGGCACTCGGGGACAGTGCTGGGGACACTGCACTGGCCTGTCCCTGTCTGTGGCACACGGGTGGCCTCCAGCCCCATCACCCTCCGAGCCACAGGCTCAGATTCCCCCTGGGATCGCCGCCTTCCAGGAACTGTCTGGAGCCCAGCCCGGCTCCCCAGGGAGCAGAGACAGCCGGTCTGGGGTTTGTCACACCGGGAGCATCTTCTGCAGAGCCCCGGGGGTGCCACTGTCCCCTGCACCAGCCTGGCAGAGCCCAGAGGGAGCCTCTAGCCAGTGGCTTGAGGAAAAAATACATGAGTTTGTGTGGTGTGTTACATAAAGCAGGGAAAGATGTGGTTTAAGGGTACAGGAGAAGGAGCCAGCCTGGCAGAGAGTGCCTGAGCCAGCTCCAAGAGGAACTGGGCAGAAATTTCTGCTTCATGCAGGCACATAAAACCTTCCTGTGGAAAAAGACAAGCTGCTGAGCACTGGCTGCTTAGGGAACAGACACATGTGAGAGAAGCCGGTGTCTTTCTTCACGCTTTATTGTGTAAAAATAAAGTCAACAATTCATGTAATCCCAGCAATAAAATGGAAAAAGCATGAGAATCCGTAGAAACAGTGCATTGTCAGAACTGCCGGATGCACGGGGTGTCAGAACCCCTTCAAATCCCAAAGGAGACAGAGCCAGGAGTAGGAAAAATGTACAGCTTTGGTTAGCAAAATAATGACAAATTAAGATACATCGATTCTCTCCCCTACTGTACACTATGTACACTGTGTTGACATCACACCCTTTCGTGTTTTTTTGGCAAATCCAACGCACCTGGGGCTGGAGGTTAAACCTGTGCCGTGGTCTCGTTGTTCTCAGCAGGTTGTGCCTGTGCTCGCCGATGTGATCGGGGGGCTTGGGAGGAACTCAAATTAACTCTCG